AGGTTTAGATGTCATAGCTGCCTAGTATATATACAATGAACAACAAAAAATGATTCATTAGAGAAAGTTCAGGGGTGAGGATGGGACATGGGAATTATTTAAGTGGACACAGAGACTAATGTTATGGTTCTTATTCAATAACAAAAGGCCTATAGTATTAATAGTATGGTAGCTTTGGCCTTTAAATGAGAAAAGAATCTACAATTCTTTGAATCTATTTTTCAACTTCACAGAAATACATATGCACACAGAACTGAATATTTTTGCCATTAGTAAATTATTTTTGATTGAAGTAAAATAAGCTCTTCAGTATGCAGACATTGATTAAAGTAATAACAAACAGTAACATATTCATTATAATGGCTTAAATGTGTACTAGCACTGTCTGAAATTCATACGCAAAGTAAAATGTGGTAGGGAAATCATTATTTGGGGTGGGAGATGATAGTACTGGTAGAATTTAAAAAAGAACTTAAATAGCCAAGCAGTGTAAATCCATAGAGGTTGGTAAATTAATAATTCTTCAGCATGAGATATTATTATATTTTATCAATTTTTGATAATGTATTTATAATTGTGATTATATAAACATTCACTTCTATTTAAACATCTATCAACATGTATTTTTACTATGTGTCACATTTTTGTACAGTTGTTTTTTCTTCTTACTCTTATGAAATTAATAGCCAGAGAGTAATTGAGAAGAATAAACAAATCTTTGCCCAGGTTGACCCGCATTTTACACATTTCTACTTTGAGAAAGTAGAAAGGAAGGGAAGATGCTCAGTTAATTTTTCTGTGTGTTCAAGTTATCTATTGCTGCCTAACACGTCGCTCCAAATGTAGTGGCATAAAATAGCAACCACTGTAATACACTCATGGTTTCTGTGAGTCAAGGATTCAAATAGTGCACAATAGAAATCGCTTATAATCAAGCCACACTGTTCCATGATGTCTGTGGCCTCCACTGGGGAGACCAGAAGGGCTGGGGTGATTTCAATCACTGCCAGCTGCCAGCTAGAATCCCTCGGACTGGAGGATCCACTGCCACAGTGGTTTCTTCACTCATATATCTAGCACATTGGCAAGGATGACGGAAAAGCTGAGCTCCATCGGCACTGTTGACCAGAGTGCCTCGCTGTGGCTTCTCCAACATAGTGGTCTAAGAGTAGCTGGACTTCTTATATGACAGCTCAGTGATAGCAAACAATGCAGAATAGGCATGGTCCTCTAGGAGCTAATGCCAAGTGCACATGGCCATCTTCTGTTTATGCTAGTGGTTGAAGTTGCCACAGGTTAGCTCAAATATCAGGGGAGAGCATGGAGGCTCTCACTTAATGACAAGAGAATCAAAATATTTGTGTCCATGGGGGTGATAGTGTTCAGACCCTGAGACTCCCTCAGACCTAGAAATGCATAAAGAGTCCTCTAACTGGTGGTTAAATTAGATAATGTATGTGGAAGTACATTGAAATTGCCAAATGCTATACATTGAATAGTTACTTTATTTTTATCTTACTTTTAGAAAATCATCAGAAAATCACCCTGTTGATGCTGTTTCATCTTTCTGTATTATGGCATTACCTTTCCCTTTGTAATTTTGCAGTTTGAATGGAATACAGTGTAAAATACCTATACACCGAGCCAGGACATGCTTCGACCTTTCTGAAAGTAAAAGACTTTTAATAATGAAAAACAATTTAGAAAATATTTTTTGAAAACCAGAATACAGAATTCTAAACTGCATGACTTTAGAATTTGAGAGTCATATTGTAGATTAAATATCTGACCTCTAGTGGTTGCAACTACTTTTTGCAACTGGAAATGGCTAGGTGTTTTTAAAGATGCTTCTTCAGAAATTATTTCATACTGTTTGATGCTATCACAAATGGTAGATTTTAAATTTAATTTTTCAACTTTCTAGTGTTAGTATATAAAAGTAAAATTGATTTTGTATATTGATCTTGTATTGTGCAACCTTGATATTATCTTTATATCTTATTATTCATTTTGGTCATAGACCATAACCATACTCTGTATGATTTCAATCCTTTCCTGCCTATTAATTATGATTTTTTATGTCCCAACATATGACTTATCTGGAGCAAAAAAGTATATATTCAATGTTTTTTGGATAAAGTGTTTATAAAGGTCAGTAAAGTTAAATTGGTAGAAAGTGCTGTTTAAATTTTTTAAATCCTTATGGATTTGTGCTTCTTAAATCAATTATTTTTTAAATCAATTCGTGAGACAGAAGTGTTGAAATTATCTCTGATAAGTCCACACAGAAGCAAGTATGACTTGCCCACTCAAGAATTTATTGGATATTGAGAAAGATGACACAATGTGATCACTAATAAATAAGAATAAACTTTATTTGGTACTCACAACAAGCTAGGGATTCCTAGTAGGTGATGGGCTCACCAAGGGTCTGATAAGAATGTAAGCAAACTGGGGTGGGAGGATGGGTGGGAGATGGCTTTTTTTTGTGTGTGTAGGAGGTAAAGTCTTCTTCAAAGCAAAGGAACAATCAACAGATTAAAAAGAACCTGTGGAATTGCAGAAAATATTTGCAAACCATATGTCTGATAAAAAGTTTATTTCCAAAATACATTTAGAATTTTTAGGTCTTCTTTTTAAATTGACCCTTTGATCATTATGACTTATAAATCTTTATCTCTGGCAATTCTCACTGTCTTGAATTTTGTTCTGTTATTAATATTAGCTATATCAGCTTTCTGTAGATTTGTGTTTAAATGGCATATCCTTTTCTAATCTATGTCTTTATGTTTAAAGTTTGTCTCTTTTAAACAATATGTTTTTGGATCTTACCTTTTATTCATTTTGACGATATCTAGCTTTTTTAGAGTGTTTGGTCCATTTACATTTAACGTAGTTATTGATATGATTGAGTTTAATTGTACCTTCTTTCTAGTTTTTGTTGTCCCATTTATTTATTTTTTATTGTTATGGTCTTTATTTTTCACTTTTCTTTAATGGAGCATGGCTTTTAATTTCAACATAAGTTCTAACAGCATTTTAGCTAATAATTTTCTTTACTTATTTTAATGGTTGCTTTTGAGTTTATAATTGGCTTACTTAAAACAGTCAAGATTGAATTATGACATATATTATTACATTAGAACTTTAACAATAGTATACTTCTATTTATCCTCCATCATTTGTGATATTGTTGTTTTTAATTTTTCTTTTGCATATGTCATAGATTCAAAATATTGTTATAAATAGTGATTTAATAGTGTTTAAACTATTTTAAGAAAAGAAATAGCTAATATTTTATAAATACTTACTTTTTACCATTTCCGTAATTTCAATTTCTTCTAATAGATCCAAATTTTCTGTTACCATTTTGTTCAACCTGCAGAATTTCCTTTAGCATGTCTTGTAATGAGAGTTGCTATGATACATTATCTCAGATTTTATTTATTTTTGTTTCATCTAATTTTTTGAGGAATATTTTCCAATCATAGAAAATTCTAGGTTGATTTTTCTTTTTCCTGTCAGCAGTTATGATTTTTTCATTGTTTCCTGTCTTGCAATGTTTCTGATAGGAAGTCGCCTCTCTTATCATTTTCTTCCGAATATAATGTGTCTTTTTTCTATAGTGTTTCTTTATCTTTGGTTTTGGGAAATATATCTATGATGTGCTGAGATCTGGATCTTTTTGTATTTATCTCGATTGGGGCTTGTGAAGTGTCTTAGAACTATAAATTAATGTCATGAAAATTACAATATATATTTCCCTGGCTTCAAACCTGTGAGCTTCTGTACTCTATAATTTCTCAGAGAAAAATAATGGTGATATTACAATGGTATTTAGTCTTTCAAATGCCCCGATGAGGAAATCAAAATATTTACCCCCAAATATATTGCTTTGACATATTTTGAGATGGCTACAAGAGGTCCAACAGACGAAAGTAGCACTGCAAAGCTGTCTTTTGTGGGGAGAAATTTGTGTCAAGGAAGAGAATCTTCCTTGATGCAGCTAGGCCTTTCCTTATCCCAACCTAAGATCTAGGAAAGGTTATCTAAATCTGACACATTAAAGATCTGAAAGGAACATTTATCATCTGTTCTTTCTGTGAGGTTTCATCTACATAACAAGACCACCTTTTCTAGCCAAGCCTCCTCCTTTCTTCCTTCCATAACCTGTCATGCCACTAAAACCTGTTGTTTTGCCACAATCCAAGTCCCCATTCTTTATAAATTCTTTAAAATGAGCTTGGGATCTTTCTGTTTGAGATCAGATTCCGCTGAGAAAATCTAGAGGAAACCCTAAGGAAACTTGTAAAATTGACATCATATCTACCCCTTATCAAAGATGATTTTCTCATCATTTTTCTTCTTTCATTCTTCTCTTATAACCTTTTTATCATACCATTCTTTCACAGAAAAAAAAATTTTTTTAAATATCTTACCGTTAAAATTTAAAGGGGGATTTGCATATTGATAAAAGAAGACTTAAAGAAATTAAAAGTTAAAGACATGAGGCCAAAAGCGAAACAGAGCTGTATATATTAAAGAGGCTGATACTTTGGAGATCAGATGGCCTGGGTTTGACCATCAACTTTCCAGTCATCAGCTGTGAGGTCACTTGGAAAACAGCTTTGCCGGGTCACAGTTTAAAATGTTGGTTTTTGGTGCGCTCAGGGTCAAAGAATGACCAGACACACCAAAGTAAGGTAAGCATGAAAATGAAGTTTATTGAGGAGAGAAAGATAGGATTATAGACTAAGAAGAGCAAGAGCAAAAACAAGATGTAGGTTTACAGAGCAAGATATGTACGTCACAGACGACAACCAGACCCATTATCTTAGCAAAAAAGAGAGCGAGCTTTGGTTATGGTCTGGGTCTTGTTTTATAGTGTTGGCATAAGGACCTCCCCATGGTTCAGAAGTCATCTTGGAGCCACTTTTGACAGTTGGGAGTTACTTGACCTGAGTCTTACTATGCATGCGGATCTCCCATGAGCCTCTCTGAAAGCCTATTATGGGAGGTGAACCGCAGCAGCACCCACTTTCGTCACTAGGAGACCTGAAATCCTTCATTATTTACCTAACAGTTTGACTTCCCTATGCCTCAATTTCCCTAGCTGAATAATCAGCTATAGATAATAATATCTGTCCTTTCTACCCCTCAGAGATAGTTTAAGAGTTATTTTTGAAGAGAGAAGTTTTAAGTAAACATCCAAATGGAATAAACCTCATATCTTGTTGAAGTTGATAGAAGTGAACATCACTCCTAAAACTACCAACTTTATATTTATTTATGTCAAGTGAGATCCTCAAAAGTCACTCGGCAATACCTACTTTTCATGCTTGACAGGTATGGTAACTCACCTGAAGATATGGTCATGCAATAACACCAAAAATAACAGTAAAAAGACACAGAGTTATTTTTGGTTGAACATAGAGTGGACTGTGGGTAAAAAAAGTGTGTTTTATTTTTATTTTATTTATTTATTTATTTTTGACAGAGTCTCACTCTGTTGCCCTGGCTAGAGTGCCGTGGCGTCAGCCTAGCTCACAGCAACCTCAAACTCCTGGGGTCAAGCAATCTTCCTGCCTCAGCCTCCAGAGTAGCTGGGACTAAAGACATGCATCACCATGCTCGGCTAATTTTTTCTATGTATGTTTAGTTGGCCATTTAATTTCTTTCTATTTTTAGTAGAGACGGGGTCTTGCTCTTGCTCAGGCTGATGCTGAACTCCTGACCTTGAGCGATCTGCCCACCTCGGCCTCCCAGAGTGATAGGATTACAGGTGTGAGCCACTGCGCCCAGCCAAAAAGTGTGTTTTACACTATAAAGCTCTTGAAGGAAAATTTGGAGTTATGGGATTAAGACATCTCTGTGGAGAGGAAACCATGTAGAGGAACCTGCTCAAACTATTCAGAAAATCACAGAAAATCAACTCTCTCTCTCTCTCTCTATATATATATATATAGAGAGAGAGATATGGAGAGACACAGAGAGACACAGAGAGACAGAGAGAGGGAGACAGCTGTAAAGGTAAAAGGACAGGTTAAATGAACGCAAAACGAAGTTCTTGCTGAGTGGTTTGGTTACAGCTTTGGAGACATCAAGACGCTAAACTGACAACACTCTTCAAAAGGAACGTATCTAAATTGAAATGAACAAGATACATATATATATGAATATTAACCAAATATAGCAAAGTGATACACAACTTTCCATATTTAATTATAAATACATATAAATTAAGTTCTTAAAATGCCTTCTTAGTATTTTCTTTAGAAAGGTGCAAGGTATTTTGTTGTTGCTGTTTGTTTTCTTATGCTTTGCTGCCAGGAGACAGAGTTGCTACTGACTTGAAAGTAAGAGTTCCTGATGGGGCTTGTCTTCTGCTAGTGTGCCCTGAAAAAGCAACTGCACTTGTATCCCTTATCAATATGTAAAATGCCCAGCCCAAATAAGAGTTTCTGATTGTTTTGCATGGTGGACTTTAAGGGTAAAACTTTATATAACCTCATTATGAGGTTGCATTAAATTATAGCTTAGGTTTTCTGCTCAAGGTCTTTGCACATCTTATCTATATTCTACTGTGGCTTATCAAGAGGAAACCAATCCTATGAATATGTCAAGATCAGTGTTGCTATTTCTGTTGGGGATCGTGTTACCATAGTAATATATTTCCTGTGGCTTAGAAAAGACTTATTTTGCTTAAGCGCTATTTTTATTTTATTCAAAATGAAGTAGAGATAAAATCATAAAAATGTTTTTCCTGTTGCCTTCAGATTTAATGGCAATTTTAGGCAGAAGGATAAAAGTAATCAATGGATATTTCTTTTTAGCAACTTTCTTTTGCTGTGTGCTGCTCCTCAGGCCAATGCCATCGTGAGAATGACCGTGATGAAGGGAGTGAGTTCTGATGTTCCCTTTTGATTTATGGTTTTGATGCAGGGGTGCAGGATCGACTCTACTCCTCGAAATTTGGTCTGAATATCAAGACTGATCATGCCATACATACAACAAGAAGGTCTAGAAATATATTACTTTCATAATAAGGCTTTCTCTGGAGAGCAGGGTTGGCTCCCAGGAAGGTTGAAAAGTGACTTGAGAGATCAGGACAAGGAAGATTGACTTTGGCTTTTATTGGAGTTAGAGTTCTTGGCCCGGGTGATTGGTCTTGCATCAGGATTTGAATATCCCACCAGTACCAAGGGAGGGAGTGCTTGTGGGCTTTCCTATTGGCTTGTCTAAATGTGAGGCAAGAGAGGAAAAAGAAGGAGTGGGCCTTGAAAACTGCTAGTGGCAAATGTCAAAAGAAGAGTCTGACTAGTCTTTATATTAATACCTGTATTATCGAAGCAGATTGTAAAGACATGAGTGAAAATCACATATGCATATGTGTGTATATATATGTATTTGTGTACATATGAATACAGATATCAATAAAAGAAAATGACATTTTGTACTTGCTAAAGATTACATGCAACATCGGAATGGTTACTGTGGGACTGTCATGCGGTACTTTTCTGTAGTTACAGAGAAGACAGGTGAGGTGTGACCTAATTTTCAGCAACAGTTTCTCCTTTCTACTCTTCCCTTTTTCCTGCTCCTCCTTCCTTTTTTGGTGGAATTTTTGGATTGGAGGTAATGAGACTTCTTAGTTCATGGAACATGATCAGCATAGGAAAGTTTAAGGCTTTTTTTCCCTTGTTCTGTTTCATTATATTCTTTTAAACTTACTCCACATGGTATTCCTCTTCTTTCTGTAGAAATTCAGCTGATTGTAAATATATGTGTAGTAGAAAAATGTATAATGTTTTGTTTTTGTGTGTGCACATTATGAATGTGTACAAGTAGTATTTTGCTATATATATGCATATTTTTACTCAACATCATGTTTTAAAATCTATACATATAGTTGGATGCAGCTTTAGCTTATTACTTCTGACTGCTGCATGATATCCAATCTTATACTTATGAAACATTGTTGGTATCTAGTCCCTTAGTGCTACATGACCAAAAATCTCTCCTCTAGCCTTTATTCTTTTTATAATGTCCTGAGCTACCATTCTGTCCCCAAACCCCCACTTGAAAGTAAACATATCTTTTCCTCCAAGGATGGTGGGTGTACGTACACATGCCACATCAATCATCCTTCAACCTCTTTCTTGCTTCTGTGACATCTATAAGTTGAGTTCTGGTAAAAGGGCCATTGGTCCATATTTGCTTATTATATAATTTTTTTGCACCTCAAAGCACTCATCAAACACTTGATTTCATTTGATTCTCATAATTCAATAAGTCAAGTACTATGATTAACTATATTTTATTGTGAAGGCAACTAAACTGTTGGTTAAAGTAAGTTAATATAAGTCCTAGGTGGATGGATTCTGGAGTAAAAACTAAAGTCTTATGACTTATTAACATTCCCTTCCATCAGTCAAAACAAGCCTCTACCAAACAAATGGGCCCCAGATTGTGGAAAATGTTTTAGTATGATCAGTGGTTCTTAGCAGTACCCAGGTTAAGTTCTGTAAGGAGACAGAACGTGATAAATTAATACAGTATAGAAATTCATTCTTAAACTTTCTGAATTTGACTCGGCATAAATGCCATGCCTATCATACCACTACAAAGTCTCTACGTATGATATCATTAGAGCTACAAGATATTATCCTACCACTGGATAATATCAGGTTCCAAGGAACCCCAACTAAATCTCCCATAGTATGATATGTCTATATGGGAATCTCTTAAATATAGCATTTAATCAGAATTAGGTGACATTTGGTACGATAATTTGTCAATGTGGTCATATAGATGGAACTTGTGATATTGGCTCAGGAACCCAGAAATGTGGATTCCAGATTATCTAACATGCTGTGTAACCTTGTAAATGTAATTTTACTTCACTAAGCCTCAGTTGAAAGTAAAGTGCTAGAGTAGATGATTTTCAAGATTCCTTCCAACTTTAAATTCTATAGCTTTGGTACACTGTTAATTTAAATGTGATAACAACTCTCAAATATTCCCGAGTAAGGAATTCAAAAAAATTGTTTATATCTTCACGTGGGTTGGTATAAGATGGAAGTACCAATGATGGGAATAATAATACATATTATTTGGAAATAATTAGAGTAAGTATTTGTAAAAGATCTACAGTGCCTAAATCATATTTTGTAGCTTTTCACATTATACTTAGTGTTCATATCTCCTACAGGGAAGTTTATGGTACTAATAACCAAGGAGAGTGGAAAACTCTTAAGTCCACTACAGTATGCTTATGTCATTACTTTAGTCTGTTACCACTGCCACATTTTTCCTCACTGGGAAGATTTGCTTTAGATAGCTTCCCATGAACATGGAACCAGGATGTGGTTATTCCTTGACCGTGACATAGACTTGCATGCACCAGTGTACAAACTCACACGTAGCTATATTTTCAAAGATCAAATCCAGTCTGAATTCATTCTTGTGCCTCTCAATTCTTAGGGCTTGGATGCATCACATTTTTTCAAGGTTCCTGGTCTCCTCTGCAGAACAATTCTCTTTCAAATGCCACCTACTTCTTAAGAGAGAGTGAAAGGTTAGAAATAAATATTAATAGATTGCTATTGCAATAGCTTGTGCTAGAAGAGTTAGAACTGTGACATTGTCATTATTTTTCTACTTGAGTCAGGTCAAAAGAGCATTCTGATATGAAGAAAAAGCCATCATTGCTCCTGAGAACTAGTGACTCAAGTGAGTGAGAAGATGAAGGAAAATAGCAGAGAAAAATAGACAAAGAGCATAAGTGCCCTATTTGTTCTCTTCCTACCAGCCAATAAAGCCAATAGCCAATTCTGTTCAATAGCTCAAATCACCTTGTCCAGGATGTGGGAAGAAGAAAATACTCATTTTAGAGTCAGGCAAAGAACTGTGTATCGAAAATATCATAACAAAAATCTTAAAAGGTGGTACTTTAAAAAAAGCAAACAAACAAAAAAAGCATTTACATTTACTTGGCTCAATTTGTGCAATTAACCTTTATAAAACATCATGTCATGACATTAGAGTCTGCCTTGATTCTATGTTGCAATTGCTTCTCTCTCTTCCTCTTTGCTGCACACAAAGCTAAATTGTGCTTTTGTAGCTTTTGACTTTTCATTCAATGCAATTACATGCACCATTGACCCAATAATCAAGTGATAGAAATCTACAAGGATTAGTGTTGGCGGCATGAATCAATGGAACACAGCATGGGTGTTCAGGAGAGAGACAGATGTACAAAGTTAGAGTCGGCACAGACTGTTAAAACTGTTCTGCCTCTACTAACTGAAAATGCAATATTCAAATGCATTTTTAATGAAAAATAC